GCCATTGCCATCACCACCACCGCCATCACCACCACCACCACCACTACCACCACCACCACCACCACCACCGCCTCCACCATCAACAGCACTGGCGAGCTCTATCCCTTTGTTCTCCCCGGCTTAAGCCACCTTGCACCGCACGCCTCCCCTTCTCACCACCACTTCGCCACCGCCGTCTCTCTTCACCATTCTCTCTCTTGGGTGCCCCTCCCCCTTCCCCGGGGGCTTTCGCCGTTCGATCCCGCGGAAGATCGGAATGCGCCGGCGGCTGCCGGGAAAACCGAGATGAACATGTTGAAAATGTTTGTATTGCTTTGGGCGCCGTGTTTCGCTTCGCCGCGAGATAAGAACAAGATATTGGGTGAAGATCGGCTTACTGTAATAACAGTTGGTGAAGATGTTTCTTTAATAATACATTGGAAAAGTGTTATTAACATTATTTGTATTTATTGAGCATCTCAATGCACAGAGCAAGAACTCATATCTGATTTTGCGTACGACGATTTTGGTCATTTCATTTCTCAGACAATAACGTTCCTACAGTTTACTTCTACATTCACTACAGTTACACTGCAATATATATGGCTAAGCACCATCTTCAGGATGAAAACTCGCCATAATTTTACCACAATTAATTTGAACAAATGATATATTTTCTATGAACTATTATAGGTTTTCAACACGATTTTTCTCCGCTTAATCGTGGATAGTTTCATACTTTGTCATAATCAGCGTAAAAGCTTGTATTCAGTCAACATAAAGCGAAATCCCGTAATAAAATATGCCTTTGATTTTAGGAAGCTTTACTTAAGCCTTCGCTTTTGACGCATGCTCTCATTCTGGACTTCTTCGCCGTCTTGGCTGCTCCGTGGAGCTCATAGCGTTTAAGCCCTGTTAATCAATTCCTATTAATTAAATCCTCGAATCCCCAGATGCGCTCGCGTCATCTCCTCTTACTGCTTGCTCTCAAGTAAGAGACGTCGCGTCGCGGCGAGGACGGCGTGGGCGGATGCCGGGGCCGGTGGGGGGAGGGCGGCTGCGAGCGTTTTACTTCGTCTTCTTTCCCGATCGACTCGGCGTTAATTGGACTCGGCGACGAATGCAGCCGTTCCGCAAACTTCTGAAAGGGAGGCCGCCGCTTTCTCGAGTTTCTGGTGACGCGAAGCAGCGGTCGGAGAGGGCTCTCCTGGGGCCTTCGTGGGGGAGGCGAAGAGGAAGGTGATAGCGGAGGAGGAGGAGGAGGAGGAGGAGAAGGAGGCGGATGCCTGTGCCACCGGAAGTCGACGATCAGGCCTCGGCGAGGCGGCCGCGGGCCTTGTGGCGCGCCGGCCAGTGGAGCAACTGGCTCTCAGCCCTTCGATGCTGCAGACCATGCAGTCCAAAAGGTTGAGCTTTGATGGGAAGCAATTGAAAACAGGATGAAAAACCTAGCAGATTGAGTATATACGAGGATAAATTCTATTGAAGTTAGATATCTGGCGGTTATATAATTTAATGTCATCATCGTATCCTCGATCTGAACGAAATTTATGTTAAAATATTCCATATAGTAATATCGTTTTATTGTGGTAGTTTCATGATATAGTTAGCTTCTTTTTTTCTAAATTTCGGATACATTATTAACAGCTTGCAACATTGATTACATGTTCACATCTATCGTTCCACATCTATCGTTTACATCTGCAACGTTTTTCGTACTTGAGTATGAAGTCATAACCTGATGTGGTTTCGTAATTTTATGTGATAAAGAGTTGAATCCTCCTGTCTCTTGCCGTCATGCTTCAGATGCTTCCAAGCGGGAAAGTCATCTTTTTCTTTGCATTTAGTTTCTGTTTTCCTCTGATTCTTCTTGCAATTGTGCGGAATTCCCCTTTCTTTTCTTTTTCCGCAATTTCGAGTCTCGGATGGTTGCAAGTTGCAAGTTGCGAAACGTAACTTGACGTTGGCTTGAAATCATTATTGATTAATTCATAATAGCTCAGGAGGGCCATAAATTGTTATCCAACCGAATGTGAAGGACCAATCTTGCAACATTTTCTCCCACGTTTAATTTTTTCATTTCTTCTATTTTTATCTAATCTCTTTTGTCATTATAATTTTTTTTCACAGTTCTCATTCTGTACATTATTTTTGTATTTTTTTACGTATTTGCATGTTGTTTGTCTTTTCCGCATTCTCCATACTTCTGCTTCTTAATGCATAAGTATTCCGTTAAACAATTTTAATACACCCAATTGCTACCCTTTCACTCGCAGCACTGAAATGCAGTATTCAAATCACCGTCAGAGGATATACAATGGTTGTAAAAACGGGCAGCTTGGTCATTATGGATCTCAGCTGAAGACGAGCGACTATGCACTGCGTTTAGGAGATGAATTCTGCTCTGTGTGGGACTTGCCAGCAACGTAATTATTTGTATATTGCTGACGTAAGCTGGCGATAAAACGATGGAGAATGTCTGGTGCCCCAGCAGCAGTTGACGAGAGAATCTACATTGCTAATGACTTCTGTAATGCAAATGCGTTGCTCCCCTACCGTTTTGTCCCGGACCTGCTGTCTTCATGCAACTGGACGTATTTCACCTGGTATCTTTTATGTGTACCCGTGTAGGAGATGTAATGATCTACATCAACTAACACCGAGTCGCTCGTCCACTTCCTGCGTGCTTCCATTTGTATGGAAATACTAGTGATACTTCACAGGAGCGTTTACAAAGAGGCAAAGGGTCTATTACTTTGTGTCTTCCGGCTGATTCTCCCTACGGTCCCCTGTAGAACATGAAATGAGTGGGATGTCCGTTTCAGGAATTAGATACCCGGGAGTCTGGCGGAATTAATTTCTTGCTCCATGTAAAGCGTCTTTTTCTTCAGGTGAATGTTCTTTTCTAGACGAGGACAATAATGATACTCGCTTCTTTTTCGTTCTTCTATGAGAAACAAGGGAATGATGTGATGAAGTTAAGCAAAATTTATATACTTTGATGTCGGAATATTGGATTCCAGGAATTAAAGGACGTGAATTTCACAGTTATATAATAAACCTTTGTTTGTGAAGTGAATTGGTTTTACATGTTATTTTAGACACGTATTTTCTTTTTTTCATCTGAACGTTCGTTTGATCCCATAATTAGTAATCGGTGAAAGGCAGGATATTCTAAAAATTCAAACTGAATTTTTTGGGGAAATTCTATGTCAGGCAGGCATTTAAAGTACTAAATACCGCGAGGTTCAATTCTAAGACGTGAGTCACATAATGACTGGAACTTTTGGGGATCCTGAATTATGATGGTAAGTAGAGAATAGTGGAATTAGTATGAATCCCTTGCTTTCTGTGCAGTGCTTCGTAGAATTGTTGTATTCCTGGAGGAGGAAAGGAGGAGACGCACGATGTCTATTTGTCAGTTCTGGATATCTTTAGCTTGCTGGGGCGAGTATACATATCGTTATGTTGATTTTGTTATGTTTAGTTGTGGAGACGTATTGTTCGCTCTTAATGTTGAGTCATAAAACATACTCTCATTTCTGGAAATTTCGAGCGAAGATAATTCTTCTCATATGATCGTCTGGTCCAGGAACCTGCGAATGTTGTTTTATGATTTTTTTTATCTATCTCGCGTTTACAATCGCCAAAGCAACTAAATCGCATTTCATAGAAATAAAATACAAAAGCATACCTGTATTACTTGATAATTAAATGCCTTAAAAATTAAATATTTCGTTAAATGAATTGAGATTTAAGGACATGCGGAAAAAATCCCGAATTATCAGCGCTGTTAGGTAGAATACTGACTGACACAAGCCAAAATATTGCAGAGATCGGTGCTTTTTTGTGATGTTTCAAACAATTCATATTATGTTTCTGACATGTCACAATGACTGACTACCTCTCGAAATGACAAAATGTCATCGCTCAAAGTGACAAGAGGTACGATATTACAATGAAATGTGGTAGGAATGGCATATGTTAAAAATGTGACGTACAGGAAAAAAAAAACGAGGTATGTACATTTTCAATGCATTCTTGTTTCATTTAGTCGTGCTTCTGAAAGAAAATTTGGAATCGTTAATAGATAGAAAATATGCGGAAGAGTGAAATCAATAGAAAACAATTTTAAATAAATGGAAGACTATGGTGAATATAACAGCAAAACCATTTTTTTATTTTGGGTACTTTTTTCAAATCAATAGACCAACCTTCAATGGATTATGATGTGCGCTGGTAAACGTATAAACATATTAATTTTTATTCAGGAAAAGAGTGAACCCTTGCTATAAACGAAAAAAAAGGGGACGTTTTCGCCAGCCTTTGGTAATTGACAAGACGCAAAAATCGAAAAGGTAGAGGGGTAAAGAGACGACACCTAAAGTGTTCAGAAGATCCCCTTTGAGCGTAGCAAAGCATTCAATAGTATCAAATTCCACGTCATTCATTATTTACATTTTCGTTATTAGTGTTGGGCTGCAGTGCAAGAGTTTAGTAGGCGTCAACCAATTATATTCCTACCACCCTCAATTTGTATTTTTTAGGATTAAAAAAAAGTAGTGAGCGACAAATTGTTTACCAGTTCTTGCACAATGTAAATTTTCTTTATTCGAAAAAAAAAAACAAAAAAAAAACGTGTCGACCCGGGTAGCCGAGATCGCTAAGGCAGTAGTGTCGTGGTGATCTCGTACTGGGATCGTGGGTTCGAATTCTGCCTCCGGCGTGGTTGTGTCTTTCGTGACTGTGTGTGTTGTCTACGTGTTCTATGCTTGTGCGTCTCTGTTTGGCGTCAGTGAGGGCATCCGGCAGTAAAAACATCGCCAAATTAAGATTTTAAAAAATGGAGTGTGCGAAAAATCAATTAAAACAGCCTGTCCCCATGAGCGCAGACCCCATAGAAACGGACGAAAATGGCGAGGATAAAAAAAATTCGCGATCAAAAGATATTTCATACTTAGATTTTTTTATTATTTCATGTACTTTAATTTCATTAATTGTATCATAATAGCACTTTCAATGGTAAACCTGTATGTTGGAGTCATAAGGTTTCCTAAGTAATTATTGTAAGTTTAATCATCTTGGGACTGGATCTTGTTACGAGAATAACGTAATATTACTTCGAATATACACGTACAAATCGAAATGATTGACTTTTTATGTTCATCACTGCTTGCTAACGCATTTTTTGTAATTTGTTATCTGTTCATGAAGGTGACCAAGTTAGAGAGTGTTAATTTGAATAGAATTTCAAAAACAACTTTTTTGGGGGATCGAAAGCATGTGTGCAATGCAAGCCTTAGGCACGTGTTCTGCATAATATGTACAGTAATGTTAAAAGTTTCAAATTTCATAAAAGAAAATTAGTTTGAAACGGTCTTACCTGAAAATGCAAGTAATGTTATTGTGTAAACATGGTTACGACGCAGGATGTTTGCGTGGCAACTGAGGTCTGTAACCCAGCATTTGTTTAAACCAACGGCCTGCAAGAGGGGCCGAGGGAAAAGCCCCCTCCCTAGCAATGATGCGCCATAACCCCCGACAACGTGTACTCTTTTAACGTACTTGAAGAAGAGCTTTATGGCTAGAACAGCCTTTATGCCGGCGCGGAGCAGTGCGGCAGCGGCGCATGGGAGCGGGAGCGGCGGAACAGTTTTACGGCGGCCGTCGGCTGTCGCTCTGTTTCCGGTCCTCCCCAAGGGCCCAGACGAGTTCCGGGGATCGAATAGGTCAGGATGCGCCAAACGACAGGATGGCCCCTGCCCCGGATCCAGCGCGGGCATCTTTTATTCTGGTTTGCGAACTAAATGTAAATGTAAATTCACTATCAGCGCTGTTAACTTGATGAGCTTTTATTTTTTTAATGCGAATGGAGTTGGATTATTTTCCTGCAACTATCAAATAAAATTTGTAGTTGTAAGTAGCCGTTGTAAGTAGTTTCTAATACGCGAGGGGATATTTTTCGTGTTATCTAAGGCTTCTAATCAGCTCGTAGCTTCCTTCATTCATAATCAACTTTATGCAGTAAAAAAGGTAGGGTTAAGGGTACCGGAGTTCAAGAAAACGTTCGTAGGTTGTATTTCCTCAAACGTCACGTACAGTGTTTACTGATTAGTAAGATAAATTTATGTTTCTAATTTTATACAAATTTATTTGTAAAATGTAGTTGGAACTCTGCAACTCATCTTCGTATGTCGGAAGAGTCTAAATTGCAGTCCCAATGCGGGCGGATTAACGACATAAGCTAAGTGGCTTCCTCCAATTGTCAGGCAGGTCTGCCAGGATGAGAATTCAAGAGGAAGATTGTTTTTTCGTAGAAGTACAATCGAATTCCGGGATGCGTCAAACCCTGGCTGTTAGTCGGATACGTCTGAGAAGAAAGTTTTATTCTTCTTTCTTAGATACTTCCTGTACTTCCTTATTTTATCGGGTGTATTGGGTTGGGAGCTTGTGAAGGAGCGAGTTCGCAACTGAAGTCCTTTAGACCGGGAGGTTAGCCCAGGTACCGCCGGTAGCGGATTTTCGACACCAGTGAAATTGTAGAGTCGGATTCCGCAGTTGCCTTCGCGGAGCCGGCTGCTGCGATCGCTCGTTTCCGTGATTTCCAATGATATGTTTGTGCTGAATTCCATATTACTCTCTTAAGCAATGGATTACACACTGCCTGTGATGCTGTCCGTCGTTTCGATCGACTACGAACTGAACCTGTTTTTCTACATTGCGCAATCCTACGAATCTCCAAAATCTCCAGCAGTATTTTCGTACGCGCAAAAATCACCTTTCTTTATTTGCTCAACAAAAAGTTTAATTATGAGGTCACATTATTAGTGTTATTCAATTAGAAATGTAATAACTCAATATTGTTACGATATTTAACACAACAAGCATGCAATAGCGTTGAATTTGAAATGTAAAACTGTATTCGAACAATTGTTTGTTTGTTTTTGTTGATGTTGTTTTTTCATATTATACATTACTCTTCCATATCTCCGATCCATTACACCACGAAAATATTCAGATTTGTTCTGCCTTCGGGCAATTTGAGCTCTCAAAATAGTTCACAGTAATTCCGTTCGCAGCGCTGCACGAGTCCGCTTTCGTCAGGTGTTCCTGACGATGGAGGGGAAGACAACGGCGCTGACAGATGGCTAAACGTTTTGTGATAGTTTCGTTTTGCGTCGACTATTAGTCATTCTGCTACGTGAAAGGCACAGCGCTATTTCTGGAGTTCTTGCGGTAGTTGTTTTCAACACCAGAGTGTGCTGTTGTGCTCGAAAATGAACGGCTGAGCGGCATTGAAACGAAACTACATTTCGAGCATCGAGATGTGACTTCGATCTCTTCTGTGATGTCTGATAGAATTAAGTGTCGGTCGTATATCGAACGCGCTTGTTCTTTCCCTATGTTAAAGATCCCATGTTTAAAATGCCAATTAGCAAATTTGGCTGGAACTAGTAAGAAAAATATCTGGAATATCTGAATGAGGCACGTAAAACTTTGCTTATTATTCTACTTCCATTGATATTTTCTTGACGCGAACTCACGCCCACATTGTGCGTTAAGGGCATGGTTGTTTCAACAAACTCAAATGGCACTCTGAGGCATGAGGCAGCACATCAATTGCGTTTACATTTTCTAGATTATTTCTCAAGTATATATTCGAATTACTGCCAATTCTGCCAGTTACTGGAGTCCCGATTTCGAAACTGGAGAGAGAGAGAGAGAGAGAGAGAGAGAGAGAGAGAGAGAGAGAGAGAGAGAGAGAGAGAGAGCGGGCGGGACCGAGAGAGAGAGAGCGAGAGAGAGGGACCGAGAGAGAGCGAGAGAGAGACACACACACACACCTCAATAACCGATTCAGTTGTTTCCATATTTTCTGTCATACATTGTGTTGTTTCATTGTCTGCGCACATCCATTGAATTTACATTTTTTGTCCATTGCATGTACAATGAAAGCTGCATATGTAATTGAACGTACAGAGATGACGCCAAGTTATGACAAGAAATCACGAAATGAAATTCATAAAATCCAAGCTTGTTGTATTAGCGCAATGCTGTTTTATAACTCTGTCTTGTCATCAGTGCTCCTTCATCTGTGCCATTCATATCAGTGTATGCAAATATTCTTTAACTATAGCATATAATTAATGTAATAATACAACGCAGTGCACCGTGAATGCTAAACGAGCTTTCGTGCCTCAATAAATATTCATGACTTTAAATGTGTGTTAAATTGATTACTGCAACTTGTAGATAGAGGAAAGCATATCACGTTGTGATGGCCTGGTTTTTGATGAGTTGGCGTATTTTCGTGTACTTTAAGAGGATTTTGTGGTAATGCACTGTGTGCAGATTTTGTGTACTGTATGCGATTTAATGCTGTCATAGTGCATCTTGTAAATATAAATCTATTTAATATTCCCCTTTGTGAGTCCTCGTACGTAGCGAAATATTTATAAGAATTGCATTACATTTTGAATTCTATGCTTGTTATTTTTTATGCACATACTTATTCTTGAAGAGTTAAATAAAATATACATTACATGTTTGTAACGTAGAATTTGGTTTGAGAACCTAATATGCTGCCTTGCAAACGCATTTGAATGTCATGGTTAAATTAAAGTCATCAAAAACACCAGTGTTGCTCATTTCTAATTATATTTCACAAAATAATTGTTTACCGGATTTGCTTCGTATCGTTTTGTTTTCAGATAACTTTTGTCCGGGTTAATAATATAGATTTTGTGTTTTCTTTCGGTGTATACCCTTGTTGTGTTCGATCATTTCTTTTTATAGTAGATTTGTGAAGGTATAATTATTATCAGCACTGCAGAAGAAAGATTTGCATGTTAAAAAATGTTAATGAGGTTAATGTGTAATGTATATTCAATCACACTACTTCTATCTAGTGTTCCGCCATTCGTTGGTTAACATTTTTACATATTACTCATTGTACTTGTAATGTTATGCACTTACTCTGTTGAATGATCCGCAATTACTCTGCGATATAAATGTTAATGGACGTTGCGGCAGTTGAGAATGAATTTAAGCTTTACAATCTGGTATGCATAGTATACAAGGAAAATGTCCGTTAATTAAAGTTTAATTAGTTTCTGTTCTAAAGAGCGGTATTTCGATCATTTAAAATGCATCCCTACATGCGTGTTTGTGTTCATAATTTGTGTCTCACGGTCGTGATCGTAAAAATTCTGCCAGCGAGAGCGAAATCACTGCCATGTTGATGCCCCGTTTAATCAATTTAAAATGTTTTTTTCGCTGAGTGCAAAATTGTTGTCATCCAAACTCTCGGCGGGACGTATGTTTGGCAATATTTTGTTCGAAGCTATCGTAATTGCCTCGAAGATCAATATTCAACCTGCATCACAAGTCATTTTCTAACAATAAGAAAGCTTTGTAAATTTAAAATTCTTGCGAGATTCTAAAAGTAACACATTTATAACAATTGCATTAACGAAAGTGTAATAAATTTGTGACAGCAAAACTGTAAAATGAAATCGAAAAATAAGAAAGGAATCTGTAATTTGTTTGCCGATGTTAATAAGTTTTTTATATCCTGGAAGCGAAAATTCGTAAGAGTCAACTGTGCTTGTTCATTCTGGAACTGAAGAAAGCTTGCGCTGATTATACATCTTCGCCATACATTTCATCAATTTTTTACACCTTTTTAACGATGAAGAATTTAAAAAATTGAGTGTGAAATTGAACCGAGCCTTGTTTCAACGCTTGCCTTTTCCTCTCCTTCCGCAGAACACGTACACGAACGCGGAGAAGCTGCTGACGGCGGCCGAGGAGCTGGCGCAGACGGGCGAGTGCAACGCCGACGAGATCTACCAGGTTGCTCACGAGCTCGAGAGCCACGTGACGAGCTTCGCTGCGCGCGTGGAGCAGCGGCGCCGGCGCCTCGACCTCGCGGTGCTATTCTACACGCACGACAAGGAGGTGAGTGCCCCGCCCTCCCGCGCCCGACGACACCTTGCTGGCGTACCATTATTTGACGTTTTCCTCCTTTGGCCAAAATACATTTCTGGAATGCGATATTTTTCCGGGTATAAGTTACCATCATGCCTTTATTTTAGACTTCAGCTTTGGTATTTCCAGGAAGTAATGAGAAGCTAGGAGTGGCAACATTTTACTAAACAAATGTGCAAGATCTGCATTATCTCCGGTAGTGTTACTTAAACTTTGTAAAAAACCAGAACGAACATGTTTTTCTGGACAATCTTTGGGCACCTTTTTCTAAATCTTATCATTCAGTCCCCCCCCCCAAAAGGTGCCTATTAGAGGAATCTGAATTGATGGGTACATGTTCTCTATAATGATTTATTCTTGTACAAATATTCCAAATGTTTACGTGATACCAAGGTGGGTTAGTACAGAATTGCAAATGCTTAGTTGATTTATTGCAAGGTGCGATACATCATGTGTATTGCAACTACTTACTACTATAACACATCGTCAGGGATTTCAAAGGAAACTTACGGAACACTATTTTTTTATAACACTTTAATATGATATTTCATTTAACTGCTTTCGTTTATTCTTACGGACAAACTAAACTTCCTTTTTAAAAAAATACAAATTGACGTCACGTATTCATAAAGGACTTTGGTTTACCCCAATGGTTACAAAGTGAAATAATTCGACATCTTCGTTCTTTGAATTTGCATTGTAACCAAATTACATCTACTGAGCGAGATGCTCTCAAATGAAGACCGTAATTGGGGGAATTAGAAAGACGTTTCCAGGGCGACGGCAGAGACGTTGAAGGGGGAACGTAAGACGAAGGCTTCATAACAGCTGCGCCCTCTGTATCGGCGATAAAGATGAATCCTCTGAAGAGTGATTTTCTCTAACCCCTCTCCCTGCTTCTCCAGTCACAGCCTCGTTCGCCAGCGCCCCCCTGTTTCTCCCCTATTCCGTCTCAGACCTGTCTCCGTTCCCCGCTTCCTCGTACACCTCATCGTCGAGCTCGTCTTTGCCTTGACTTCTACTTCCGCCTCCGACCTCGCCTTTCCCGCACCATCTGCAATCCCTTTTCTCTGCCACTGCCACGGACAGCTGCTCCTTTGTAGCATAAAGGAAATACTACTTTCCTCTATCTTTAAAGGTAAGAAAAATCGACCAGACTATTGCAATGCCCACAATTGACTAAGCACGTGAAGAGCCAATCGGTCGCCACTTCTCTATTTTCATGGTATAATATGGTAATGATATTGGTCTGGTAATAAATCGTACCCATCTTCAGAGCCCGTGGCCTTCCGATTGAGTTGTCCTGTCTGCTTAGTAAAGAACAAAAGACTTTCTAATGTTTATATTCATAATGTATAGGCAAACCATGTAGTATATTTTACCTTGGCTTAGAGACTTGCGAATGATTTCTTCACCACGTTTTTCGACCCTTGCATGTCGTGTGTGTCCCACTGTGTGGCATTGGCGGCGTTGTCTGATACGGGATCTGCTGCTGTTCTCCCCCCCCTCCCCTTCCTGCTCGACCCGGCGTCTGCCGAAGCCTTTCTTTTTCTCCTTTCGGCACTCCTTGCGCCCGCCGACGGGTCCTCACCCGCCCTCGCCGTCAGCCGCCCCCAGCCATCCCCACCTCCGACCCCTCCGCTCCCCACCTGCCCCACCGCCACCCTTCGTTCCTCGGCGTCCAAGCTGCCCCGCCGCCCCCGGAGGCGGATCTGCGCCTTCAGGGCGCGCACTCCGCCACTCGTTTGTCTCCAGCGAAGCGTCGCTTTCTCCGAGTGGACACAATTCAGTGGCTTGTGAAGTAGCTTTAAACTTTACTAACTGCCCGCGTATTTCCCGAATTGTTGGTAAATGGAGCGTTGCCCCGCCGGAAAGGTTTTACGATGCTCGGATTTCACCAGTATATTCATTAATGTTGCGTGCGGGAGTGGTGGATATATGAACCTAAATTGGTGTTTAATACGCAACTTGTTATTGTGGCGTAGTGGACTCAGAGTGTGGAAGAATCTAGTTACTATGCGTGAAGGAATATCAAGTCTCGGCCAGTTTGGGTGGTTAGATATTGAGGTCGATGTCAAAAGCCCCCCAATAAAAATTAACGTAACCTCATCTTCAATCAAAAATAAATATTGTTTTATCGGACTATATAGGGCAGCTTTAAAGAGCATACGCCGGGATGGTCTGCATTTGACGAGAAGGATGTTGTTAGGTAAAATAATATTAATAAAAGTTAATGAACGAAAGGGTTAGTGCTGCGACAAGGATAAGCGAGAGAGGGGCAGTTGATACGAGATGTTTGAAGTACAGACATCTGGAAGTCTATCTTTTGATCCCAAGATTTTTGAAAGAACAGAAAAGTATACCGTATATAATATACTATTCATAGTTGTATTTATAATTAATATTTGGAGAAATACATACTGTATGGTTATTAAACTTTGACCAAACATTCAAATACACGCAACAATTTCTACGTAAATCAATTTTCTCAGTTGTAAAATTTCTCGCAAAATTTTTAATACTTTTTTACTCTTGCTCGTCTCTATCAAAATAGAAATGGATGTATTTGTGTGAAATGTTAATCATAGTTATTTTAGTTATCCTCATTTTATCCATTGTTATAATTGGATTGCCAATATTTTTTCGAAACTAGGAGACACAATGTCAAACAATGTTAAGTTCTAAAATCAGTTCAATTTCACGCAACTTTTAGTGATTTTTTAATGAAACCAGGTACGTAGGGGTCCGGTGAGCATAAAGAATTATAAATGACATATCTCCAATTATTCAGGATACACCGGTTGTAATGCATTATGAAATCCTTTGGGTTTCTTATTCTTTGGGTCTCTCATCGTGTAAAATTATTTTACATTCAGCTGTGTGTATAGTATTTATCGTTTTGCAAACTGCACAATTCAGATCGTCTCTGCTAGAAATTTCAAAACATCTTGCCCCCGTTATCTCTTTCCTTCTCCCTTTTTGTAGAAACGCTTCTTAATGGCATTTTCTTAGATTTGAAACACAATTTTCGTAGAGAACACGCGTACCGGAGGAGAAAAAAGCGCACAAAACCCGGGGAGACGCGACTTTAAATAGAAATTAAATTAAAGACGACCGTTGGTTCAGTTTTATTAAAAAAGTTTTTTAATGCGGAGAGCGACGTTTTTTCCCCGACGCGACGCGACACGATACAACCCGAAACGACGCACCTGGCGACGGCGGCAACGCTGCTGTCACTGCAACCGTGAAGGGTAAAGAACAGAAGATTAAACTGGATGGCAAGCGATGTTAATGAGAAGTCCAGTGTTTCAACCCGCCAAAACCCCTTCGCTGAATCAAAGTCTGATCACTATGCCGTACTTAGCCGTCCCTTAACAATAATGCTTAAGTTTCCTCCAACTGTTCTAATATCATTCTTAGGTGCCGGGCACATCGGAGCCGAAATTTTGCTCGGCCATTTTTGTCCGGCGATCCGGCTTTGATCAGTCACGTGATGGTAAATAGAAATAGTCATAATAACTCCGAACGACCTCTTCCGATGACGTCCGAAAACATCGGCTGTCGTGCGAAGATGTTTCATTTGGTTTCAGCAAGCCGTAAATTGTCTCTACTGTGATTGTCGCCTTCTTTTTTTTAAATGTCTAACGTATGGAGCGCCCATACACCCTGTAACACCACTCTCTTCAATTGCAACAAAACGTGCGACGCCATTACCATATTCAATGAAATACTTAAAGCAGCCATGTGTGAACGGAGATCATGCTTTACTCCTGCCCAAACGTCAGATCAATTGTAATTGCATGTGAAGGCAATATATTCATTTCACTTCTTGTTTATAGCTTAAGTTCTACAATTATGTAGGAATGCGTTTCCCATTTGGCAATTGTCAACTGCCGTTTCGATTCCCTAGGTACTTAGCAACTGGGCGTATATCGGAGAATCCAGGTTCGATTCCCTGCTGGGGTAGTCATACCATTATGAACCCTCTAGGACCACACTAGACGTTATCCTCCAAAGCCCAGTCATATTTATTCTGAAGAGATTAACGTTTTTTTATTTATTATGAGGATCACCTTTTTCGGCTGTATCTATTGATTAAACACGGTTGTTAGCCTTGAGTTTTGAATTATTAGGTAATTGGATGATAATGAAGGATGAAACGACAATTATTCGTACAAATACGCCCATGCTTACGTAGGATTCGAACCTGCTGCCTACTCAGCGCAGACAACTGCTCCCGCTCGGAGTCCGGCTATTATTATTATTATTATTATTATTATTATTATTATTATTATTATTGTTATTGTTATTGGCGTAGAGGCCATTACTGACCACGCTACACGATTAACGTGTATAATTCTTCCAGGATCAGCTTTTCAGCTGTATCCTTGGATTACAACAAGGTTGTTACGCCTTGAAGTGTTAATTATGAGATGATAGGATGATGATGATAGGTGAAGGGACAATCACAAATACGATCATGTCTACGCAGGACTCGAACCTGCAGCCTTCTCGGCACAGACGACGGCTGCCGCAACCGTCACGGGGCCGACTTTATTATAATTACAATTATTATTATTATTGTTATTATTATTATTATTATTATTATATTTGAGCTGGCGTGTTTTCCGTACAAATGCGACCGGCACGGATTCCCTCCTCCCCTTCACCGCCGGCGGCGCGCGCGCCCGAGTAGTCGTTGCGGCGCTGGGCCGCGGCGCTGCGCGTCGAACGCGCGCGTTCCGTCGCGTCGCTATTTTTGGACCAGCGCGCGACCTACGACTTCGCGGAGCTCTGCGACAATCGATTTCGCGCACCGGCGCAGCCGCGCTCCAGGAGGAAAACTTCGTCGGCTGCGATGTAGCGTGTGTAGTTGTTACGAAGCATCGTGGACGGGGAGGTCCTAGGAGCGAGTCCCGACCCGATGGATTTTCGACGTAAGCTAAATAGCTGGATCGAAGCGAACTTGTCTGAGGGGGGGAATGTAGTGTCCGATTGCTTTTTGTTGTTTGCTCCGGTCGATTTCATATGCATGCTGGAGCTGCACTTTAAGTAATAGAACCATGATAGCAATCGATCCCTTCTTCCGCTTCATAGTTTATTGTCTTACGTATTTTTTCTGATTGTTAAGCGATCATCTTTAGAGGCGGAACTTTACGACAAAATATCCATACTGAAAGAGGTATACAAAATAAAATTAAATAAATAAAATAATACAAAAGAAAGTAAAACACAATAATACTGAAGTAAAGTTGATAAATTATCATAAGTGCGTTTGTAAACTACATCACATCTGTTCAGCGGCTTCTGATCAGAGAAACAACAAACCACACCAACTCCTTACATCCCAACATAAAATTCATTACTGAAATACAAAGTGAACACTGTTCATTCAATTTCCTGATTCACACCACCACATTGGTACTGTACCACCACGCATTTAATGTTTGAGGATGCAGACATGGCAGGGTCCGACGCATTGCCAATAAGAAATTCGCTATGAGAAAAATTTTGCAAACTTCCCTCGATTCCCGTACGCATGCGTGCATTTTTTATAGTTCTTCTAAATTTTCAAGTTTATTTGCAACGTCTTCGATAATATTTCATATTTTTTGTAAAAAATGTATTGCATCTATTATACAACTGAGAATATGAAATAAATCCAACAATAATACTTGTTCTGCTTGCAGGCACTAACTGTTAGAAGTATTTCACATTTTTCTAAACAGCTGCACTGTAATATATTCTCATTGTATGAAGGTGTGTAAGAGGTAGTTTTGTGGTCTCATTTATTTTGAAGTGCAGGCTCCCCACTGCACGTCCCGCAGACCGTGCCGCTAGCGAGGTCGCCCGCTCGGTTGCGGACACCGTGCTGCCATCTCGTGTCGACCGCGCGAAACATTTGGAGAGCTCCTGACCCGGCGAGCGAACGCAACCCTCCCAACCGCTCGGCCGTCTGCCGCGAGCCCCCTCTGCCTTGCCGGGCGGCCGTGCAGCTCGCGCGCTGCGTTTTAACTAACGGAATCCAGATAATAAAGATAATGACATTTAGACCAGTCACTGTCAACAATTAGTTATAATTGGATTAAATCTCTCCTGTTCGTCGTTCCATTAGCTCATGTAGCTTTTCCCATTCACGTTCTTTACCGTAATTTGCTGAATTTCGCTGTTTCAAACACCCGCTGCTGTTGCAGCCTTTTCGTTATTCGTTTTGCTTCCTTTTTTGTCTTTACATACTCTTCATTGGGCTTGGCTCGTAATTTGTTTTTGGCTAAAGGCCGAAAGTGGAAAGCATAAACTCGTATTGACGTATAAAACATATTTTAAGACTGACGGGTCGAATGCAGGTTTTTGTGATGTTTTTATTTTAAAGTGGCTGATCTTTTGAAGGAATGTAGATATCTACCTTTCAACACGCACGTACAATTTTTCAAAATTTACAAATCGGAAATGAAGGGACAACCTGATTGCGATGCAGTAATTGACTCATACGCTGATAGCAATAACATGCATATGCAGTCTTTTAGAATTATACAATATAAATTTAATGTTCTAATATCACTATTGAAATAAATATTTTCATATACAATATTGAAACGTTTACGTACACCACAACTACAAGTGTATATTAAAAAGGAAATTTGATGGAATAGATACGAAAAGAATCGTAAAGAACCGTTTTACTGAGACATCAAAAATATTTAAAATGTGAACTATGATAATTTTTTAAAAGTATATTTAATGTCAGGTAAATAATATAATTTATAATATATTGTGTACGTATTAGATTAATGATTTTTTTTATTTATCCATCTTTTAAATGTCTGTTTACTAATGATATTACTTTTTTGTAATTCAGTCGATTTGCAAAATGTGGGGAGGTCGCAATTCGTCCGTACTCTTGGGACAGAGTACAATATTTGTGTTACGAAATTGTACGAATGTAGATGGAAGATGTATAAAATAGTATTTATGTTTGTACCAAATGTCAATCGACCCCTTAACATTTGCGCATGTTTATTCTGATGTGCTGAATCGTATTCTCAGTTGGTGAACGTCCAGACGAAGAAAATCATTAATTGAATAATATATCAAAACAGTATATCTGTTAAATAGAAATGCATGTAGTTGTTTAACACTACTATTCCTATTGTCATCTCTTTATTATATGAGCAGATTCTGTTTGTAATGCAATATACGATTATTATGGGTT